GGTTGAACATGATCATCTACAATAAAGCAAAAGTAATGTTTAAATATTTATTTAGGGAATATATTTCATATAGAGTAGCTGTGGTGGAGTGGTTTGTGTGCTTAGATTAGAGGTCAAGGGTTCGAGACTTGGGGGGTGCAAGAAGAGAGAATTACTTTTCTAAAAATTTGAACCTATTGACGGCGGTAAAGAACCGCCATTTTTTGTCCTATATTACTGTCGATTTTTAACAACGGTAATTTTCCCTTTTACGACGGTTTACCTTTTCCGATAAGAGTATAAACGGCGGTCCTAAATTACCGCCGTTAAAGGCTTTAACAGTGATTTTATATCCTTTAACGGCGGTAAAAAACTGCCGCTAAAACTTAATTTTTGCGTAGCGAAGGAATGTGACTTTCTTACCTATTGCTAAACAAAGACTAAAAAAATTCAAAATAAAAAATTAGAAGCAAAGATATTTTAAAGGCATTCATGAGAAGATACGAGAATGAGAGTGTGATTTAAATTATTTATATTTTAGAACACATTAAGTAGAATATTTTTTATAAAAAATTATGTTAATCAGATATTGTTAGTCCTATGATCACATTAATTTATATTCAGTTTTACAATTAAAATTATATTGAATATTTATTTTTGTAGATATAAATTTGACTTGATTATAGGTCTATTAATATTCGATTAACGTAATTTTTTATAAGAATATTTTACTCGATATATTTTAAAAAATAAACAATTTAAATTACCAAAATAAAACTCAAAATGAATTTATTATACTCACACAATAACTTTTGTGCAAAGGCACAACACACTACTAAAAAAAACACTTTTTGCGACAGCTATAAACCGTCGCAAAAGACTTTTTGTGACGGTGTAGACGCGCCCCGGCGAGGGCCTCTTCGCTACAGTTCGGACTCGATTTGTGTCACGGTTCTTAATCTGAACCAAAGAGTCCAAATCTGGCAAATCGTTTTGAGAAAACAGATTTTTAGAAAAGTAGTGCCAAACATGGACTGCTTTGCCAGATACAGAGTCGCCACTAAATATTTTAAAATGGGGAAATTTAGGAAACCCTGATCGGTGCCGGTGCAGGAAGGCCACATGTCCGTCATCACCGGAGTTTGTCTCGGCTCGGGAGCTTGGGTACGATCGGGGAAGGTCAGCTATGAGCACCCCTTTTGCCCGGTCCGAAGACCGGCCTCTACTAACCGTGATATCCATTTTTGAAAACTTTATGTGTTCTTACAATTGTTGCCTAGAATTTATGTTAAGCGCGCAGCAAACAAGTATAAGACCAAACCGCCCAATTGGAACAAAGCATTTCATGTTTGTTTTGAAAATGGTTTGCTACTCGTAAGTAGGCTAAAATGCAGGTTTTGCCACCCTCAAGTGGGCTTTTGGAAAGAATGATTTTGCCACTATCTAGTGGGCTTAAAATTCATAGTTTTGATGCATTATCCAATTTAAGCAATTTGACCTCCACCCACAGGCATTCAAGCATTTTATCTCATGTAAGCACTTAGCCACATGGCAAGCATACTGTCATGGCAACACTCACACGCATGCGGGATGCTAAAGCATAACTACTTATACATTTTACTCCGTGCCAAAACAGTAAACTAGTTAGAAAACATGCATGTCCTAGTTCATGTTAAAATGACTAATGCATCGCATGCGAAAATGTAATTAGAGTAGGCTGCGGTTAATCTAAAGAATAGGCAATATGAGAATGCAACCATTTGATTCCTGTCGATTCAATTTGGATTTGAAATTCGAATCTGTCAGTTAGCGTGATGTACCGAGCCTAATGCATGTAATACAAATGCATGAATGCACGCATGCACAGCATCATAAGGTATGCTAATTTCAAAAATGCCCTAATCTACCATCATAAGCAGGTAAATAAAAGGGAAGAAAGAAATGGGGATTGGAAGACATACACACACTCACCCACACTTATTACATGTTTACCCTCACTCAGAGGGTCCAAATGAATATTACAGTCCCAAAATAATAAATAAATAAAATTATTACAAAATTTCGAATTTAATTTAAAAGAAAAGATGGCAAGGGAGAAAAAGAGGGTAGCCGCAGCCTCTGCCTCGGGATGTGCGAATGATGCATGCTCGAATCCGTCTCGCCCGGAAAACCCGTACTTGTACTCCTGCCGCCTCTGTTTGTACTGCTTTGTCTTTCTGAAAATTGCCAAAGTACTGGAGCAAGTTCCTTACATCCTGCAGAGCACCACCGGCCGGACAGAATTCCCACCGGCACTTCACAATTTCCATCGGCATTTTATTGGATTCATCGGCACTCCAGAGATTGCCGGTCGGCACTAAATTCTGCCGGTCGGCAGAAACTTTCTGCAGAAGACAATTTTGACAGCAAACAGAGAACAGACAGTGCATGGCATGGGATTTTCAGGCACATGTAAGCATGGTTATACTTCCTGTCATGTTTTGAACTCAAGGAAGCATGACTTTCGATCCTTGAGCCATCAATGGTACATGATGACTCAAGGGATCAAATTTGCCACTTAATGTAAGAATGCATGCAACAAACAAAATGAAATCCGGAGCCTTATCATGTCGGAGTCCAAGGCCCCGGTGACCGGGAATCAAGGTACATTTCATCACTTGGAGTATGAATGTCCCTTGACCCTCACACTTGGTTTGACACCCCAAACCAAGTAAATGCAATGCATGTTATGCTCATAAGGCTCAAATGCACCATGCCACCAAGATGTAAAGCACAACCAGCATTATGCAACCAACATGACAAATGTATAATGCCAAGCATACAAGGTAAAAACATGATGCGAACATGGACCAATTTGGGAATGGGATTAACATGCTACGAGGTTTAATGAAGCAACCATGCAACAAACATGGAACAAGCATGCAATGGGGCCTTAAGCCATAAAGGGGACAGACCTTGATCCGCCCCAAAACAGTGGCCAAAAGATGTCTAAAAAGGTGGGCCAATACTCATGTTAACAAGCAAACTAATGGTCCCAAGGCTAAGGCACAAAAAGAAGGCATTTCACCCTCACTAACATGACCACCCATGGCATGATTGGGGCAAGCAAAAACAGAATATTAACATGCAAAATAAGGCTCCAAACCCTCCTAGTATGGCAGCTAAGATGACTCCCAAGATGCACATGCACTAAGGCCCATGTATAGGCATAAAAGGGGACACCTTCAAGACATAAAAGAGGCCATGCATGCACACATACAAGCGTGATTTTTGGACTGAAATAGCATGGCAAACGACCTCCACTCATCAAAGTAGACCAACTAAAGCACTTATGACTCACATACTTGAGGGCTCACAAGCCAAAATGCATAGCAACCATAACAAACATGCCAAACATGACCAAGTTGATAACCAACAGATTTTAAGCATGGAAAAACAATGCTAAATGCTTCATGGAACTAAGCAAACACACACAAGAATCATGGCCTAATCATGAGATACAATTCTAAGCAAAATGGAGCAATACAAAGCAAGTATTACAAGCATACAAGGAGGCACAAATCCGGCCAAAAACAGAGATCCCACATGACCTAAAAACACCCAAAAAGTTCTGAAATGGAGCAAAAACCAAGCAAGCATGCATGTCACCCTTTTGGGCTCAAAAAGCAAGGAAACAAAACCATAAAAGGAGAGGGGTGTCCCTCCCCTATGCAAGACTTCAAACCGACTTTTTTGACACTAAAAATACACTGATTTTCAGTGGTGAAGAGATCAAAATGCTGAAGTGAACAAAACCTTATCAAAGAGGCACCAAAATGGACCAAACAAGGCCTATAAGGGTGAGTTTGCACTCAAACTACAAAATGACCTTAATGAAAGTGCTAAAGCAGGAAAATATAAGCCTTTTTCATGTTATACACAAGAGCTAAAACAGCAAGCAAGATAGATAGAAAACCATTACAAGTTTGGGGAATAAAAGGCAAAATGCTCACCCTTGAAGAACCCTTGAAGAACAAATGGTCTAGCCTCCTTCTTTTGATCAAAACCAGTCCAAAAACTCAAGAAACAACCCCCCAAGTCCCTCAATCTCGGAGTAAGGTGTAATGGTGTGTGTAATGGTGCAAAAGTAAGGTAAAAACCACCTTTTGAGCTAAGAAACACACACAAGAAGGGAGAGAGAGAGAGGTATAGAGATAATATGTATCTATATCTCTAAGGGCTGGTTTTTGCTTCTAACTTTCTAACCTAGAACCAAGAGGAAAGCCCCTCTCTTATAGGACTCCCTCTTGCAAAGCTTATACAACAAGCTTGGCTAGAGGGAAATCCCTCCATACACGTGTATGGAGGGGGGGAGAGTTGGTGCCAGCTATCACAGCTGGCACAAAATATCTCCATAAAGTGGATGAACAGTGGTCGGCTGCCCAAAAATGTCATTTCGACAAAAAACAGTGCCGACCGGCAACAAACTATGCCGACCGGCAATAAAGTGTGCCGACCGGCAAACAAAAGTGCCGATGGAAGAAAAAGGCCAGCCGGCGGCCTCCAGCCACTGCCGGTGGTGTGTGGGGATGTCTCACAAGGCATCCCCTGCCCCTTTAAGGCAAAACAAAAGTGTTCGGTGCAAAACCAGACACTAAACGGTCAAGTTCGGAGATTCTGAGGTAGGGCGCGCGAGCCGGGACCTCCGGGAACTCCAAACGAACACAAACATGGATGATCACCGAGTGCTCAAACGGTGATGTCCAAGTCTTGAGGACGGTCAAAAATGGGGTGTCTACAGACGGTCCATGCGACGTCAAATGGGGGTCGCGAATGTGGGGGTGGCAAATACTTTTTGCGACGGCAAAGCAACGGTTGCAAATTATTTGCGACCGTATAAATTACTTATGGCGACCGTTATTTTACCGTCGCAAAAAACAAAAAAACAACACGAACATATTTTTGGCGACTACCTTGTTACCGTTGCAAAAAAAAAAAAAAAAGTGTAACATTAAGCACTCTAGGAATAGCAATGACAAGAATTTAGACAATATAACATTGTAGTTTAATTAGGCATTCCATTTGAGTCTTAAAATTGGAGCCATATGTGAAAGTTATTACAACTAAAAACTTCGAAAAAAGTTCTTTTATGAAAAATATACAATCTAGATAAAATGCTAGTAAAGTCAAAATCTACAATGCTGATGTTCACCATTGTACAAGGTACCGGTCTAGTTCCAATTTGTTACCATGGAGATTTATGTTCCTCAAATCCAAGCTTGCACCTGATCAATACATATTATGAGGGGAAATAGGTTAGAACACAGAGTATCTAATTTCCAGATCTTTCTTTAGATATAAAGCCTCAAGCAGAGCAGAGAAAAGGCAAAGATTGCAAATAAATAATGAAAACTTAATAAAACAACAAAATAATTCAATGCTGGTGTTCACTATTCTAGAATGTGTACCTTGAATCTTCTTCTTAGGTTCCTAGAAAAGTTGAATGCTATGTATGTGGGCTAAATCCAAGCTGCCCGATTTTCATCCTGCCAAAATAAAAATAAAAATAGAGCAAGTCAATTTTCTACTAATTTATATCTATACTTTGACATTCAAATAACAGTCCAAGCACATAACCCTATCAGACACCATACAAAAGCTAAATAAATTTGTATTTAATCACTACCTAGAGCTGTTAATATCATAATGAAGCCTTATGTCATATATATGGGGAGTTCAAGAAATGGTGATGGATGAGGCAATGCCACTGCTGCAGAGTAAGCAACACACCTGTAACTATTATCATCCATCATTCCAAGGTTGTTAACCTTGTGATCTTTTTACAATAGCGAGAACTAAAAATTTGGATGCATTAATCAACTAAGCACAATGCAACAACTCAAAAAATTAATTTGCATCTTGCAAAGTGTATAATTAAGGAAGACACCTTGCATGAAAAATTAGGGTTCAAAACCCATCCCCACAAACACAACTATAAAATCTCACGATTTCACATCATGAGAACTCATAAGCACAACCATTCCAGCAAGAAGTGTTGCCTTTGAACAAAAGAGCTACCAAAAATCTAGAATTAATGCATCACCTACAATCAACTTGACCCTTATAATCTCACGTTCTCGATTAATGACACTCTTGGCACAATTACTCTAGTGCAAAGCATGGACTTTGTGAAAAAAGAGCTCATGCAAATGGGAATCACGTGTAGCTTTCCTTACAAAGTTCAGGTTGCATGTACTCTGAAATACAAGATATTTTGGTTTTTTCTTTTCTTTTTGAGTTGGTACAAATGCAAAATCCATGCACACAAAGAACAACTCCAAAAGCATAATGTTTCTTTTTTCATAAACATATCAAATGCATTGAAAAAACAAAATTAAAAATAAAACCACATCAATACATGAAAACATATTAAATAACAATAAAAAAAGAAAAGGAAGCAAGGAAGCAAGGAAGGTAGAAGCCTGTAAAATTCAACAAAGAAAATGAAATATGATAGCTACCCTTTAAGAAAGGTGCCAAATATTGAAACAACTACAATTGTATTGAAAAATAATCACCAGAACAATGTCATGGATAAAACAGCTCACCTTGAGACAGTAATTTCATAGGGAAAGGAGACACTTTCAAGATTCGGTATGGATGGAACATGATCTTTTTTCTCATTCACAAATTTTATTATCTGAAATAAAACCTCACGAAGAGTTGCTTCAAGTGTTGCCCTCCGATGAGTCCTCTCATCCAGAACACTCTCAGCCATCATTCACAGGGAAGCACACATCATTATGAGTTATTACTAAAACATTAATAAAAAGAAAGCAACGCACTGCAATGAACGTACCTCCCAGGTCTACTACTAATTTGGAATGATGCGAAATGACAGCGAAATGAATCAAATAATCATGTATTGTTCTATTACTTCAACTTTCTGTTACCATATAATTTGACAATCCATGTTAGAAGTATAATTTAGTTGATCATTTCAACTTTCTATTACTTCAATAATGTTAATTGTTACACAATGCCAAATGCCAATGGGCAGTGGTCGCTTTCTGTTTTGATGCATTTCAAATTTGACAATTTATTTAGTACAAGCCTTTCTATAATTTGACAGCAGATCTTTGATGTACTAGAATGAAAACAAATAATCAGTAACAATGGCAGCTAAAAGAAGTTCAGCTAACATGGATTGTTCCACCAATAGCAAGAAATGACAACGAAAGTTGAACTCCAAATCATGTTTCATATGGAACATTTCAAAACTAATCACATTTTGCTCTAGTCTCTACTATAGGAGATAGCTAATCCATAAGCATTTCATGGTGAATGATTGCAACTTTTAGCTTTAGGATCTTAGTCCAAGTGAGATGAATCAGTCCAATAGTTTTATCCATGGGAGAAAAAAATACAAACCTGATTTCAAAATCTTTGATCATATAATATACATAATTATGTAGAGTACTAGAAATATGAATCAAATATTTAGTGAAAGGTTTAAAACTTGAAGCAAGAGTGTTTTACATGTTTATGAGTTCATAGCCCACGAGGTTAATCAGTCTGTTGCAGACTAGTGAACTAAGGTTTGTTTTGGTGAGTATACAAACATATATATATATATATATTCATATATATATCATTTGTTTTTTTTCTTAGTGGGCTCGTTAATCAAGCTTCAATTCAATCATCATAAAGGCACTAAGTAGTGATGCAGAGTGATATCAAATTGAATGAATTGAATTAGGTGTTTCAAGTTTTTGTTTGGGCATTTCATTTTTATTAGGGATTATTAAAATTTACACTTAAGTGAATGGCCATTTAATTGCACTTAAGTCAATTAAAAGCTTAAAATTAGTTTAAGGTCATCCTATTATGAATATATATATTTTTTTGGTATGTGAGAATTTCATTAAAAGAAACAAAGAATACAAAAATCAAGGGAGGCATACCTTTCAAATACCAAAATCAAGAAAAACACGAAGCAGCTAGACTATAGAGTCAACAAGAAAATTTAGAAATTGACAAACTCAAATCCATCTAAAACAATTCCACAGCCTTGAGCAATTAGATTCAATTTTCAAAATCCAACTCACAAAAACCTCAATCAAATTCACTGAAACACATTTATATCAACATCAGCCCAATCTTTGCCGACTAACATTTAAACTTCACACTACACAATCTGAGTCATACTTCATAGATACATGTAAATATGTATGTATAGGCGCAGAGAGAGAGATTGAGAGAGATAGAAATTGGGAGAGAGGAAGAGAGAGAGAGATTCATACCGCCGGATATCTCAGACGACAATGGCGAGTGAAAGAGCGAGCGAGAGAGCAGAGCTATACAGGTTTGTGATGCATGAGAGAGAGAGAGAGAGAGAGAGAGAGAGAGAGAGAACGATCAGTGTTTGAATTTTTCTAGAGCTAGGGCAAATATAAGGAAAACGGGTAAAAGGGCAAAATTAAAAAAAAATAAAAATAAAGAAATCAATTGGTTATTTGCGACGGGTAATCAAATGGTCGCAATTAGATAGTAGCAAGAGGTCACTTTTCTAGTAGTATTCAGCTTTGAAAACCAAGCATGTTACTCTTTACCTGTGACACACACACACACTCAACACTGTATTTCATTTCGGAATAGCCAAGTCTTTGGGAAATTATTATTGAATATGATAAAGTTCATATAGTATTAAACAATAATTCAAGAAAAAACCAGTTAGAAACTTGACAAGAAACAAAGAATCATTAGCTAAAACATGTGCATGGTGAGCATAATTACATAGCTGACAGAGAGAATAATTATATAATTCACATCACTTAATAAACAACATTGTTCCTCTGTAAAAGCCATTGCAATAGACACAACAAATACATAAACCATGTGGTTATTCTTTCATATAGCATTTATGGTTTCTGGAAATGTCTCTCTCTAACATAAGCTGAGTAAAACACCAATCTTGAAGCTATTACAATTTTAAAACACGAACTAACATACTTAAATTAATTATAATGTCCAATCATTTACTGAACCTTCAATCATTAACTACTTAAGAGGTTCACCCAATAATAATGAAAAAATGATTTCCCAACAACAGACTAACTGAAGATGTAAATCCCAACAACAATTAGAATGTGTTAATTTCACACTACCCACTAAGAGAAGAGGCTTAATAAGGATTCTCCTCACAAGTTATACGTCCAAGGCATGTACCAGTCTCAAATAAGTAGAAAACAAACAGGTCAGAATTGACTACGAAGCAGTATTAGAAAAATTGACCACTGAATTTTTACAAGTTCAACATAGTGGATAAAAGAGGGGGTAAGGTCTAGAAAGATTAATGTTATCAAGGACACGGCCAGATTTAAATATATCAGAAGAGAATTAACCATGTTCAGTTTAATAAAGGTAAATTAAGAACAATACTAAGCTGAGAGTATTAAAGGGCCTGTGCATCCCAACACATGAGAAAGAAATAAAAGATGACTACCATGCTTTGGTCACACCCACATGAAATTTATGAAATATAAAAAATCAATTTTGCAACTTAACATAATCATGCCCTAAAACAAATGAGGCTTGGACTATGGTGTCACAATTGAAATTCTCCCCACTTTTTTGTGTCGATGCCACTTTTTTGCGATTCTCCCCAATTTTTACTGAGATTTGCTGCTGTTGCCAGCTTCCTAACATATCAATGATACATTCCTGATTGATTTTCGTGCTCCTGAACTTATTCCAAAATTAAACAGAATGTTCAAAATAATCAATATGCTAGAGTGGCGCGTAAGTCAAACATGAATACCATTTATGAAGTAAGTCTTGGTGCAAGAAAAGTACCTAGTTGATCCAAGACTCAAATAAGTAAAACCAACTTGTTTCATAGCAAACAGCATGAGTTTCATATTTTGACTCAAATTTTGGTACTATAGAGTAGAAAAAATTCATGCATCTGGCCAAATGACTCCAAACTAAAACTAAAAACGATAAGCATCACATATGAAGGACAATATTAAAAAATTAGGAAGTCTACCATCTAGGGACAGTCCAGCTGATTTCCAGTGCTCCAGCAGCAAATTTTCTATTAGAGAAAAATAACATCTATCTGTTCCAGGATTAGTAAATTTTGTTATTTTCATTTTTTGCATACTATAGAATCCAAAAGGCATATTTAGAGATTCATCTCAATCAGAAAAAAAAAAAAAAAAATGGCATTTGTTACACACACACACACACATACACACACACACACACACACACACACACATACACACACACACACAAAGTCTAGCAAAGCCCTGTCAACAAGTTAGTTATAATTCCTTCTATAACTAATCCATGAGGAGTATTATTTCCCCATTTCCTTCTATGTTATGATAATGACAGAACAAGTTGAATATAGTACCAGCGCAAGACATCTCATAGTTTCATTTATGTGTGCAAACAGATCTAATGAGGAAGTAACATCCACTAATCCATGTCATCCTGACAAGGAAAAAGCAAATGATCTAGTAGTGCACATGCATTCTGTTTTCTCACCCAATGGATATTTCATCAAATAATTATGCACTTTTAAGCTCTTTTTTTTTTCTTTCTTTTTTTTTCTTTTTCCCCAACAAAGACAAAAAAACAAGTAAGAAAAAATGACTGCAAATACAAGAACATACCAAAGGAGATGATGGCAAAGGATATCAGAGTACCAATAGCACCAAATAGCATGATAGTCATGAAGTTTTGAAAAAACTGCTTCTTCTTTACTTTAAACTTGATGAACAACATTTAGCCAAAGGCAAAAAATGACAGAATTCGCAGCCTCCTTCCTCACGACATCAAGAACAGAATCAATAAGCTCATTGTTCAAAAAAAAAAAAAAAAGAAAGAAAGAAAGAAAGAATCAATAACCTCAGATTTATTTACATGATCTCTCATATCATACAGTTTGAGAAAAGTCCTAGAGCACTATCAGATTCTCAAAGATGCAGAAGTAGTTGCTCAAAGTTTGAAGTAATTTATTATTATTAGCAACAACTATCACCAAAATGAAAGAAATATGAAAAGGTGGAGTACTTACAAAAAAGAAGTTAAATCTTACTCTACTGAATCTAAGGTGGAGTAATTTGATCAATCCAAGTAGTTCAAGGAGTACCTATCATTCAAACTTCATTTGACTAACGCTCGATAAAATTACAAAGAACTGCAATCATAAGATTGTGATCCATATAAATTTGACGAGCAAATACTGAATCTAAAGATAACTAAATTAATCCCAATAAACCACAGAACTCTGATCTACAAAACTAGATCAAATGCAGTTTTAAACTCAAATGAGAACAAACAAATCAACAAAAAAATGTATTATTATAGTGCAAAAAATAAAAACAAAGGAATTCTTAGATACAAAACTAGATCAAGTACAAATATGAAACAAATCGAAACAAATTGAATAGAAAAAACAGAGGAAATTTGAAGAGAGTTGGTACCTGATTTGTGCACAATGAAACTCAAAGATAGTCTCTGTGTGTGTAATGTAAGTGAATTTTGAGATAGATGAAATGCATGATAGGTGAGCTTACTCTGCTGTATTTGAGAACTCCAAAAGACCTTTTCAATGCGGTCTACTAGCAAAGTTAGGGTTTCTCTGTGATGAATCGAGCAAATTGCGGTGAGAGGTGTATACAGATATAGAGAGAGAGAGAGAAAGCAAGATTGTGCGTAAGAGAGATTGAGAGGTAAAGAGAGGAAGAGTGATTGAGACAGAAACAGAGAGATTGAGAGTTCGAGGGAGAGATTCATACTGGTGGAGTTCTTCAGACAACAATTGGCAGGTGAGCGAGAGGAAGAGCGAGACAGAAAGCAAAAACGAGAGAGAGAGAGAGAGAGAGAGAGAGAGAGAGTTGAGTGAGCCCACTAGGGAAAAACTAAGAAAAGGGAGCAAACAAATGAAAGAAAATAAGAACCTTATACTACTACTTACGTTTCATTATGCTGTCACATTTTTTTTTTTTTTTACCACGACTAATCAGACTATCGCAAAAAAAAAAACGTAAAAAGTCAATTTTCTAGTAGCAACAGCTACCCCCTATCCATTTGAGAGCGCGCCTAAATATCAATACTAAACTTCACAAATGTCTTTTTCAGTGAAATGTCCTGTCTGCCAGTTTTGTTTTGAAATGATTGGTGGTGGTATTGATCTGGAAAATGCATGAGACCCCCAGTGGGGGAACTGGGGGTCTCTCCTGATTGGTCCAAAAATAATATATTTTTTTTTTTTTCTTTTGGTTTTCATCCATTGCCAGCCCCCCACGTGGAGGTGGGGGTGCTGGGGGTCCTTCCCTGCTGGGGGTCTCCAGCAGGGCCGTATTGATCTAGGACTAAATCATAGGGTTAACTTTAATTATGACTCAAACTATTATTTGGTTACAATTTAAAATAGTATCGGTCACCATACAAAAATAGTGATTAGTTACAAGTTAAAATAATGTTTGATACTTACTTTGAAAAAAAAAATAAAGAAAGTAGTATTTGATTATTATAGTTCCGTTTATTTTAACGTAAAGTATTTTATAAAATATTTTTGTTGTAAATTGGTTTTGTACAAAAAAAAATATTTTTATTTTTGTTTTTCGGTATTTGATTGATACTTAAAATAAAAATATTTTATTAACTGAAAAATAATTTTTGATTCAATAAAATATCATTTATAATTTTTTAATGAGTTAAGATATTTATTTGAAAAGAAAAAAAAAGTAGCGAATGAGAGTCAACTTTATAAAAATTGATTTACAAAAATTTTAAAGATAAATCATTTTTTTTTTAAAAAAAATACAAATTAATTTTTTTTTTTATAAATGTTTTACTTGTTTTTTGTTCAACCAAACAATAAATTTCTTTTCTTTTTTTACTCTTGTATCAAAACAAACGGAACCTATGTCTCAAAGTGGGATTGATTATGCTCTAAAATAATATATTATTTCCACACAGTCACATATGATATGTAACAAAAATAATATTATTGTAATTTGTAACCATTTTTCTTAGTTTAACATTTTAAGTAGGGTGTAAACGGTTTTGTTCAATCGGGATTAAGGGAGAAATTGGCATTGAACTGAATTTTTCAATTTTGTTAGTTGCTAAATCGAAACAGATCGCGTAATACGCTTCGGTTTTAACAATTTTGTAGGTTTTATGTAAGAAAAGGATTCTCATGAAATTTTAAATTATTTTATAAAAATTTGTAAAATCTTACATTGAAAATAAATAAAGTAAAATGGTAAAGTTCTATAAATACCTTCACCTGTATTTTTTCATTACAAAATGTATATTATTACTAGTTACTTATGTTCTAATGCTCAAAAAATTAAAATATAAAAGTATTTAAATATAATATTGCAGCAGGTTCAATTTATATTGGTGTACAAATTTTCAAAACAAACCATAAATTATGAAAAACAAACTGAAAATCGAAATGGATTCGCATAACCAATTTACCAAATGGTTAAGCAGTATTCTCTAGTGTGTTTAAATTATAAGGATATTTTCATCATATAAAAATAGAATAAGACTTATGCTTCTAAATCTTAGTAATTAGGGCCTAATTTATCATTATTTCTCAAAATGGGACTTGACGGTAAATCTTGAAAGAAAAAATTGCTAAGAGATATATACTCTAAAGAATGCAAAAAAGAAAAAAGAAAAAAATAGTTAGAGAAGTACTTAAAAATTCAATATATATTTATATGTTAAAAGAGACAAAATAGTTATGCATAGAAAAGAAAAAATAGGTAAGAGATATATACTCAGAAAAATAGAGAAAATAATACATAGGGAAAAAAAAGAGAGAGGTAGAGGTATAATCCGAAGAATACAAAAAACAGAAATTAGTTAGAGATATAGAAAAAAAGAAATGAAAAAGTTAAAGAAGTTAGAGATATGCATTAAAAAAATAATTGTTAAAAATTTACCATATAGTGCAATAGAAGAAAAAAAAAAATAGCTAAAGCAGAAGCCTTTATCAGATCCAAGTTCAGATCCTGAGACTTATGGGTTATGGGCCATCACGCTTTCGCTACGCCACTATAATTTATTTTTACTTGGTGACTTAAGATTATATAAAACTTGAAATGTTCATGACGCGATGATTGGACAAACTAATTGCGTTTCTCGAATCATGGCTTCCAATAGCCACCCATAATCCATTCCTATAACTCTTCAGGGGTTTTGATGCCACCTGGGGTGATGATTTCTCATTAATGTTGAATAACTAATCTTCACTTTTTCTCTCTAAAAAAACCTCCTCTATGCAGACCGCCCGACTTTTTCCGCACGCCCCCCTTTTCAGAGAGGGCGCGAATTGATCGTCCTACAGTTCGGACTTCTGTTACAGTTTTGAATCTAATCTCACAAAGTGCAATGCGAGATTGATAAATCACCAAAGAGTCCAAATCTGACAATTGATTTTGAAAAATCAATTTTGAATCAAAAAGCGCAAAACATGGATTGCTTTGCCAGACTACAGAATCGCCACCTAAATGTTTCGTTTTTGAAAAATTTAGGAAACCTTGACTCATGCCAAAGGCCACGTGTCCGTCATCAACAAAGTTGCCTCAACTTGGAAACTTGGGTATGAGAGGGGAAGGTCATAACATGAACACCCCCGCTCGCCCGATCAAAGGACCGGCCTCTACTAAACATGATATGTTGTTTTATAAACACATGTGTTCTTATTCCGGTTATTTAGCTAATTTACTATGTGATGTGCACAGCATACAAGTATATACTAAGTCGCAAGACTTGGAACAAATCAACTCATGTTTGTTTTTGAAATTGGTTTGAAAGTGCCACCCTCAAGTGGGCTAAAACGCGGATTTGCCACCCTCAAGTGGGCTTAAAACATAATGAATTTGCTACTCCGCAAAGTGGGCTTAAAACTCTCATTTGATGAATTATTACAATTCAAGCAATAAAGCCTTCATCCACAGGCATTCATGCAGTTTAGCATTTAAGCACATAGCCTCATGGCAAATATGCGAAACATGGAAACACTCACACTCATGCAAGTATGCTAAAGCGTAAACACTTACAGTGTACTCCGAGCCAAAATAAAAGCTTGTTAGAAATCAATGCATGATCCTAACTATACAAAGTGCCTAACACAACACATGCAAAATGTAATTAAATAGGCTCGGCTATCTAAGATGGCACATGAATGCAACAATTTGGTACATATATTCAAGTAGGTATATTGAAATACGATGCAGTTTGAATGATGCGCCGAGCCCGGTGCATGCAAGACAAATGAATGGATGCAAACATGCAAGCATAAAATATGCTAATAAAAAATGATCCCTAATCTAACCATCGAAAGCGGTTAAATAAAATGGAGAAAGATGTGGGGTTAGAAGACATACACACACACACGCACACTTATTAAAACATTGCGCTCTCTCGAATGAGGGTCCGAATAAATAAGCTAAGCTAATCTAAGCTAAGCTACTTATTACAAATCAATTGATTAACTATTCTAGCTAATTAATTATTACAATTGAAATTGAATAACTAGTCAATCTAAACTAATTAAAGCAATTAAATGGCCTCGCGGGCGAAGGAGACATACATGCTCGGTTGGCGTGCGCTCGGAAATCCATTATTTTGCCATCAATTGCCTCTGTTTGCACGTGCCTTGGTTTCTAAACATTAAACCAACCTCTACACTATTTTTGCTCCAAAACAGGATCATTTATGCACAAAATGGACTGGTGGCTGGTCGGCCACAAAAAGTGGCTGCTGGCCAACTTAACTGGCCAGCCGGCTAGTGAAAGTGGTCGGTCAGCTACCTCAAGTGGCCAGTCGGCCACTTACTTTTCCAGGCTTCTGGTTTTGCTACAACAGAGAACAACAGAGGCACAACAATATATTTGCAAGGAAATGTGTGTACTGCTACACTCCTCATCATTTCTCAAGCTCAAAGGAGTGTGGCGCCTGGCTTTCAAGCCACTAACCAAGCATCTCAATGCATGATGGCCCAAAAGCCAAGCTTGTACAAGCTTAGTGAATGCGTACATAAGACTCAAAGTACCTCCACCCTATCATGCATGATCAAGGGTGACGACGACCGGAAAATGTGACACGTTTCATCACTTTGAGTATGAAACGTCACTCATTCCTCGTGTTTGGATTAACGTCCAATCCAAACACATGCAATGCAACACAAATGATTATCTTGTTCATGTTTTACTTGGTCCATTTTGTTTACACATTTTAAATTACCGATTAATCCTTTAACCAATTAAGTCCAATGCGAGAGTCCTCTAATGGGAAAGATGGCCTAAGCCACAAGCACCTAAGCATGAAAGAAGCCTCATGCTTTTGGTTAGTAGAAACCCTCAAGAGAAGGCTAAAACCATTAGGCATGAGAGCCTCGATTCCATGCTTAAGCCAACAAGGGGCTTAAGACCACTTTCAAATCGAATGAAAGATTGAAACAATGGAGTGCAATGACATATATTCCAACACTAAAATGACATGCTAAATGACTTAAAATCATGTGAACAAACCATGCACAACATGTCAAAAGTCAAAAGCATTGAAGCTAGTGAAGGACACAACACTAGAGGTATGCAATACAAAGCTCAAATGACCAAATCAGATATGGACAGACCTAAAACATGCCAAATCAGTGGCCTAATCATGTTAAAACTTAGGCACAAAAGGCAAGAAAATCATGTGCACATGTTGGCTTGCAAGCAAGACACAAAGCTTAACTCTTATAAGCAATGAAGAAATGACACATGCAAGAGTATGGCAAAGATATATGCTTTGAAATCACATGCTAAATGATGCCATATCGTGGAAACATCACAAGCAAAGCACGCTAAGGGTCCTAAAAC